TAGCAAGTCGTGTGCGTGCACTAGCAAGTCGTGTTCGTGCATTAGCAAGACGTGTGCGTGCATTAGCAAGACATGTTCGTGCATTAGCAAGTCGTGTGCGTGCACTAGCAAGTCGTGTGCGTGCACTAGCAAGACGTGTGCGTGCATTAGCAAGACGTGTGCGTGCATTAGCAAGACGTGTGCGTGCACTAGCAAGTCGTGTGCGTGCACTAGCAAGTCGTGTTCGTGCATTAGCAAGACGTGTTCGTGCACTAGCAAGTCGTGTGCGTGCATTAGCAAGACGTGTGCGTGCATTAGCAAGACGTGTGCGTGCATTAGCAAGTCGTGTTCGTGCATTAGCGAGTCGTGTGCGTGCATTAGCAAGGCGTGTGCGTGCATTAGCAAGGCGTGTGCGTGCATTAGCAAGACGTGTTCGTGCATTAGCAAGACGTGTGCGTGTACAAGGAAGACTGACTTTTATGGCGTGTCCACGCGATTGTCGGGATGCATGTGTGTATGGTGGTGCGTGTTGTAAGATTAGCGTGAAGAGTGGACATGCATGAGCGAGTGCACAGGTCTGTGTTGTGAGGGATGTGTTGGTTCGATAAGCTAATTTATTTATTGACCCCCACCTCCGGCCCGCTCTAGATAGGAAAATATTGAATTTAATGGCGGACTCTCTTGTGCTAGAGAGGCGGCAGTCATCGCCATCATGATAACATATCCTGATATCCGAGATATGGAGTTACTGAGACTTGTCTTACATGAAACAAGTAAACAATTCAAATTATTTATATATATTCATGAGAATCTTAGTAAGGTACAGAGAAGAAATTTATTGAAGTATTATTAATTTAGAAGAAATCGGGTGTTAGCGCCCCATAATCTAGGGTAACTAAAGAGAGCGTTAGGGAGTTTCTTCCGCTGCCGCTTTGTCTCAGGGCAAACGGGATTGTGGATTCACGGGGTGCGGACATCAGTTAGTACTCGTCAGTTAATCTGTCAAAATGGTGCACTCCGTCACAAGCAAAGTAAGAATATTTAAGTGAGCTTACTTATTAACCTACCTTCAAAATAGTTTTGAAAAATTCGAAGCCGCCGTTTATCATACTTCATCGTCAAGCTCTTACATAACTAGGTACTGACATTCACTCCGAGTTTCCGACTCTAATCACTCGATCAACTTGCTGCCGCGTGCCGCCCACGCTTGTTTTCTGTGCGGCAAATCGGAGATTTTTTATAATCGGTTAATTTTTAATCCCTCATCTTCTCTATATTTTAATCAAGTTCTCATGTATAATAATGCTGGTATTTAAGATACTTAATGGTTTACTTATATGGCTTATAAATGAGCTTGAGGAACTTAGGAAGGACAACCATAAATGTTCTCCCTTAGGCTTAGCGGCTGCGGCTTAGCCTAGGCTTTGGCCCAGGCCCCAGGGGCCTAATATGTGATTGCCAACTGTGAAGACTTTGAGAGCGATTTTACAAGAGTTTTCTCCCATAATTTGACGATTACATTGCCCAGGGCCCAGGCCACTGTGCCTGCACTATGTGGCGTAGTATGCAGCAAACAAGAAGGTTGAATATATATTGGCTGCTTCAATATTTTACAAAAATCTTTAAATAAAGTGATATTATTTTAATAGAAATCTAATAAAACTTATTATTGGGTTGCTGACCTCAACAAAGAGACTTTGTCTGGGAACTTCCTACTCCTAGTCCTAGCTCCTAGGAATAGGAAGTTGAAGTACTAAGCAAGCGTGGAAAACATCTACTTTTAGGGCTGCAGCCTGCAAGTCCAGGACCAGAGCTTTTCCACCATTTCTGGAAATGAGAGATAGTAGATAGGGCCTACCTGCAATTTTGCCAAGTTGCCTGAGAAATTACCTCCTATCTAATTGTTAACAAAAGTGCACAGTCAGGCTCTGAGGCTCAGGCTGCTGAATGCTGATTCCAAATTTATTTAAAGTTTGTCACATTGCAGCTGCAAGATTTCAGAAGCAAGTAGGAAAATTCCAATCTTGGACTACTAAGTAGGACTGTAGGGAGCCTAGGAGGACTCCCTATTCCCTAAGCCTGACATAAGTGACATTGATAAGGCACCAAGAAATTTCAGCTAATTTATTTACCTTGGTCCTTGGAGATGGAGATTATTCTTCAGGTTATCTTGGGGGAGCCCTGGAGGCTGGAGAAAATGGCTGATGATAGCCATGAACAGGTGTAATTAATAAAGCAGGGGTAATAAATGAAAAGGTATATTGATACTCTCTTATTGCATCAGAATACTTGACATCAGACCAATTCTCCATAACATGGCAGACATTTTGGATTGAGCCATGGACTTGACTGGATTAATTTTGAGTGTATGAACTGCTGCTGCTGGAATTCCTCTCTGTTCAGGATGCAGGAAATTATAGCTTGATTAAATATGTTGTTGACTTTGCTTCAGTAAGCCAGACATGCTTAATGCTTGCATAAAAGGAAGAGCAAGCTGCACTGCCCCATTGAGCATCAGATCATATCTCACTGTCCATCATAACTAATATACATTCAGGTTGTTACCGGAGGCTAATTCCAAGGCATTATCAGCTACTTTGTGTGCCTGATGGTGTATGTTGCAAAGAGTGCAAGAAAACAAGCATTTAGAGATGGTCTCCACCTCCTCTGCAACCATCCCAATCCTCCTTTTTAGTTAGCCTTCCCTTCAAATTTAGCTAATAATTTATCCAGAAGCAACGCCACCAGAAAGAACTAAGTATGGACAGCGACAGAATAAAAGTAAAGCCTAAAACTGAGGCTTAACCTTGAATGTTCCTAAGTTTGCCAGCTGTTGCCTAGTCTGAAAACAAAAA